AAGCTTGCTAATATACTTTTCGTTCAGTTTTATATCTTTTCTTGAAAAACTCTTACACAGTACTATGAATAGACTTGATTTCAAAGCTGAACTGTGAATGTCATTTATGTTCTTAACCGTGTTATTCATCTCACCATTTAGTTTGGTGGAAAGTTTTTTTTTGTTGACAAGGTGCTTCCGGTGCCACAATTTGTGGCGCCAAATTCCAGCACTGTCTTGTTAGAGTGATTACTAATACAAAGTACAGCTTGTATTCATTTGGTATTGGTATCCATTCCTCTCCACATTAGGAGCACTATACTACAGTAGAGACTTGATGTAAGAAAGAATGAATCAAGACATCTGAGATATAGTAATTGTTACCTGTAATAAATTGGTAAATTTGTTAGCTTTTTTTTTTGGGGTCACTAACTTAAAGTATTGTTGAGGTAATTGTATAGATTTGTGTAACTTGTGCTATGTTGATGTTACTATATGAAGTGAGTTAAATTTATTTTATGTTACTGAATGAAGTCATATAACTAGTTTTATTTATATTATTATGTAAGATCAGGTTACATAATTTGAGCTTCAAAAATGAACTTGGTATTCCGCAGATTGTTATACAGTGATTGATCATCATTCAATAGGTGATATGGTCAGTGGAAATGATCCCCAGTATTGTTGGTGTCTGTAATGACAAATCGACAGTGGTTTAAACTTGCCAGTATTCAGGTGGTGGCCCTAGTCGTATGATAATATTACTGCATATAAGTTTTGGTGTCTGTCATTATTTGAGCATGTATATTTTGTGTTTCTGGAGTTAATTTGATTGAATGTTTTATAGTTACTGTAACTGAATGAACGTAATAAACGATAAAAATGGCAACACCTTGACAAAAAGCAAAGAAATACTTGAAAGATGAAGGAGTATTGTAAAGAAATGTACAAAGATTCGAAAAACATGTCAGATAGTACCGAAGAAATCGAAGAGAAAGAGCCTGAACCTCTGTTAGAGGAAGTAAGAATAGCAATAAAGAACCTCAAATCAGGTAAATCTCTGGGATGTGACGACATACTAGCAGAGTTAATTCAGGCTAGAGGAGAGGCCAGCGTAATTTATACCATGCACTATGTGTGAAAATCAGAAGCAGTGCTGACTGTCCCAGAGCGTGGAAAAGATCAGTATACATTCCCTTCCCAAAAAAAAGGAAATCTAAAATTGTGTAACAATTATCGTACTATAGTTCTAATTAGTCATGCCAGCAAAATCCTTCTGCGTATCATTCTGAGGAGGATTGGGAATAAATTTGAATATGAACTACAAGAAACACAAGCGGGCTTTAGACGTGGCAGGGAAAGAAGAGACCATATTTTCATTATGAGAATCATCCATGAGAAGTAAAGAGAATACAAGATAGGTCTTCACACTTGTTTCATAGACTACATCAATGCATCTGATTGTGTGCAGCACCATAAACTGTGGCATATAATGAGAGGCATGGGATTTCTAAATCATCTGGTGCACTTAGTGAAATCTCTTTACCACGAACAACAAGCAGCGGTCAGAGTGGTTGGTGAAACATCAGAGTGGTTTGAAGTGCAGAAAGGAGTGAGACAGCGCTGCATTCTGTCCCCCTCCCTCTTTAAAATATATGCTGAAAATGTTATGAGACAAGCAATTAGCGATGAGACATGTGAGAACTTTGATCCACCAAAAATTAGAGGTTATCCTTTCCCAGAACTCAGATATACAGACGACACAGTTCTCCTTTAGAAAAATTAATTCTGGTCGTCAAAAAAACACAACAAAGAGGTGAATCTGTTTCTGAATTTAAAAAAAAAAAAAAAAATATGTCTCCAGTAAATACAGCACACCAACCACGTATCACAATAGAAAATGAAGAAACAGAAAATATAACAGATTTCAAATATTTAGGCTCTTTAGTGAACAACAGTGGCGACTGCTCAAAAGAAGTCAGAAGAAGACTTGCATTCAATGCAGAGATTAAATAGCATGAAGAACCTATGGCAAAGCACTAGTAAACTGGTTAAAGTAAAAATCTTGAGATCATGCATTTTTCCTGAGTCTTGGACTCTCAGTCAGTCACTGAGGGAAAAGATCAGAGCTTTTGAATTGAAATGTTATAGAAAAATTCTTAGAATACCATGGATCAGGAAGAGGAAAAACATCGACATTCTAAACGAGTTGAACATCAAGGAGAACTGGCTCATAAGTAGCATCCTGTCTCGAAAGTTGAAGTATTTTGGCCACACCAAGCCTCATGGTTGCTTGTAAAAGACGGTGATGGATAGTGCAGTTTGTGGAAGGCGGGGCACTGGTCGACCACCGCGAAGATGGATACAGGACATTGAAGATGCATTGGCATTGAAAGCACATGGGGCGGAGAGCTGGCTAGGGAAAGGGATACTTTCAGGCGTACCGTGAAGAGAGCGACGTTCTGTAAAGGACTTGCTGATTGATGATATAACTGGTTAACAGGATAAAGTATATCATCATCTCCAGATTCCGTGTTGGTTGTCATGAGCATCTAACACCCTTGATCGTGTCTTATAGTTCATTCACACGGGGCTTCTTCCAGCTGATGTTTTTGTTTTCTCAGCCCACATGTAACATTGTCTTCTCCATGAGCCTCATCCCCCCTCTTCTTGTCCCTGCAGCAGTCTTCTTCTTTTGATGAGAATCCAACACCCTTGATCTATGTCATAGCAGCTCATACACACGGGCTTTTTTCAATTAGTGTCTTTATGCAGTTCAGATTACTTAAGATAATGTTGCGAATTTTTTTTTTTGTGAGTGAAGAACAATTTTGTTTTAATCCCGGGTAATTGTTCTTTCTTGAACTCTTATCTGGATAAAAGGAATTTCTGACAGGAAAAAAACATTTCTTGGGTCCTCTTCAGTTATCCTTATCATGACTGCACTGTATATTTAACCCGCCTGTAATGTTGTCTTCTCCTTGAACTTGTTAACTCTTCTTGTCCCTGCAGTAGTACTCCCCTAACAGGGGGAAGTAAGGTAACATAGAGGCTAGATACGGCCAGCTGGCCCAGACTTCTTGGGTTTGATTCCAAGCCCGTTGGAAATATTGGAGGGGGGGGGGGGGGGAATTAGCTCTCAGGCTAGACTAAGTAAGCCTATAATGAGTACTGTACCAGGTAACTGTCCACAAGCATAAAAGGCTTCTCTACTTTACTTACATTCTTTCAAGTAGCTATGACTGTTTACTCAGGTATGAGCAGAGATGCAGAGGAAAGGCAAGACGGACTTTTAATAAGAATTCTGCTGGCACCATTAGTATCGGAACTCTTCACTAACTGCTGATGATAGGGGCGCAGCGCTTATGGGAATGTCTTGAGTGCTATGATGTCAGTTCTTGAATCAACTCAACTCAGCTTTGAAGAACCATAATCATACAAGGAAATAAATTGACATCACAATTTGAAAAAAAAATTTTTAACTGAGTATTTACATTTTTTTTTTCAATAAACATTCAAATACTGACCACTGGAAAAAAAATATTGTTGCATGTGAATGAAGATGATATGCGGCAACAATCACGAGATGTTATTTGCAAGATAACTGATGTTGAATGACTCAGGTTTGACATAACAGATTTTACCTTGATGAAATGACACTGAGTTACCCACACAGGGCTGCAGGTTGCAATCTGGCTGGTGGAGGCATGATGATAAGTGACACAGTTATGGCATCTTTTGCTGTTACACATGATCTCTGAGATGTGCCCTGCTGGTCCGCCATCTGGCTTGAGAACAGAACGGGGCATTGGGATGCCAAGCGGGCATTACATGGACCAACGCCACAGACAACGAAAAAAGGTGCTATAGAGGTTCAGTGATGTAATACAGGGCTATTCATCTGGCTGCCTGCAGGTCGAATATGGTCTGCTGAGGCTTCGCAAGTGGCCTGCGGATCGTTGCCAACTGTATTGTATTAGTGATCTATCTTTGCTGGAGCTCGAGCTCCATTTTTTGCCCCTGAGTAAACTGAGCTGATTAGCCCGGATGTCGTTTGCATATTGTACAAACATGACCAGCTGCAAGATATTCACTGATTTACCTCAACTGGAAACACACAGACTGTACAGTTAGCCTCCCGAAAAATTGTACACACAATAGTCGCCCAGCAGTGAAATGTATCTTTAATTGTAATTAGTTGCGTATCCTTTACAGGGCGTCGCAGAACCAACCCCAACACTTTCTGACTGTTGTGGTTTTTCTAGGCAAATTTACGTCCAGTAGTTTGCCATTGCTTACTAGACAGTCGGCTCTCGGTACCACAGTCAAAACCATCGCAAGACAAACCGTCCGCAGCAGGGATCGAACACGGCACCCCGACATTACATCGCAACGCCTAGGCCACATGTACGATATTTGAGGTGTTTGAATGCATCATGTTAGCATTGTTTCATGGAGTTTTTAAAATAGAATCCTGTTAAAACATTTTGATACAAAATTTATTCAGACACGAAGATATGCATACAAGATGAGTGTGGTGTATGAAGTTACCACAGTTGCTCAGAATGCTTCCAGTTAGCCGCCAGACACTTTTCGTAATCAAAATACAACACATAGCTACCATAATTCGATCTAAATATGTCAGAAGGAGGGATAGAGGAAGACAACGAGAGAAGATTCTTGACAGTTTTGTGGCATGGCATGAAGGTGCGTCGGCACACGAACTGATATATGCTGCAGGAGATCGCAGATTGTGGAGAGGCATGATCACCCACGCCAGTCGGCAAGGCAAATGATGATGATGATAATGTCATCAACGGTGAGGTTTTTAAACAAATAGCCTCTATGAAAATGTTTATGCATGTCACTGCTGGGCGATAACTGTGTATACATTTTTGTTTGGGCTAACTCTGTAAGTATAGTTTAGGTATAGTTGTGCAGGGCCAGTGTTCAAATCCGCAGTATTCAAAACAGCAACACAGCTGACTGGCCAGATAAACCAAGAAAGTGGAGGACAACGTTCATGTAACGAAGTGAGCACTTGCGTGATGTTGCTCGTCATCTGAAGCACTCTCGTCTCCCTCTGCCCGTTCTTCTTTTCTCTCGTCTGTTTCTTTGTCTTTCTCAGTTAGCAGCGGAGGAAGTAGGATATTTAGGGCAGCTCTTGGATCTGAGGATAATACACGTGTTATCAGTTGTCTTGTCAGCGCGGTGTTTTATTTTAAAAAAAAAAATTACGTGCTGTCTGGCCTAAACAATGAAGTATTTTGTTTGTGTGCGTGTGTGTGTGTGTGGGTAAAACTTTTGGAACAAAACCCATTGTCAAATTTATTGACAAAGAATGAAATTGTTTGGCCATCTACTGAGAATGAAACCAGCGATGCCAGCAACAAGAGTGCACAGACTGAAAATCGAAACAACAAGAGGCAGGGGAAGACCGAGTAGAACATGGGTTAAAGGAGTCACTGATGTCTTGAGACTGCATAACATCACGGCATATCAAGTGACTCAGCGCGCCCTGGTTGTCCTCCCTCATCACTGTCGAAAACAGTTTACTTCTTGTTTGAGAACCGCTGCGTTAAAGCATTGTTAGCCCGACCCGGTGACGTCAGCAGCGTCAGCTGGAGTCAGTCGTGCTTCCACGCTGCGGCTCTGGTGCCATTGTCAGAAAAACAACAAGAATTATATTGCTCAAATCCCCATCCAGCGCGGGAACGAACCACAGAACTTGAGCATCATGGAATTGTTAACCGCATTCCCTAGTCTCTAAGCCACTCACTGTTTGTAAAGTAAAAAGTAAAGGACCTTTTCCACGCCTTTTGGGCGTATTGGGTATATTGGGCTAGATCTATATTTTATAGACCAAACGGCACTTGGTGGGTGATGTGGTCAGCATCACGCTAGCCACCTTTACTTCCCAGGACTTCACCTGGTACCCACTTAAGGCTGAGTCGACCGGGAGCCAAGATCATGTTTTAAAAAAATGTCCGCCCCCCGTCAGGAACCGAACCCACGACCTTCCGATCCACAGGCGAGCGTCTAGCCGCTAAACCACGGCGGCTCCCCACTCTCTGTATATGACTACAGTAAAGGTCAAGTGAAGCACACACTCTCCATTTTACCACGCCTTCACGCATATAGGGCCAGACCTATATTTTGCAGAAAAATCGGCACACGATTGGTAATGTCGTCTTCATCACGACGGTCGCCTTTACTTCACAGAACTTTACTTTTAAGGCTGAGTCGATCTGGAAGGCAAGGTTATTTCTTAAAAAAAAAAAAAAACCTGACTCATTCAAGACGTCACCACCTCAGCTCCCGAGGCAGTGAATAAGTTAGGGCGAAACATGGTAGCCGGAGCTATTCACAATGGCACATGATGATAATGAGTCTTTCTAATGAGTCTGCAGCTGTGCAACCACTTGTGAATTAGCTTCATTTTTTCCCTATAGTTTACAGGGCCTCATTTTGGGGTCACAAAGAACTGCTCCACTTTACCCCATTGCCTAATAAAAATTTCGTAAAAAAAACGTATCTTCTTGTTCCAGAATCTGAGTGTTGCGTGTGTGTCTGTTTTACAGATCTGACTCATTTGTATGCAGCCTGCTGGTTCCTTGCCTCTCGGGCAGATGCAGTCAGACTTAGAAGGAAAAACGTGTATAATTTGAATGTCTTCTTGGGAGTCGGCGTGTATCTAGCGGAAAGGCGATGAACCAACGGTCTGCTTACAAATAAGCCATATTTGTGAAATGAATGTGCAGGCAGAACTCAAGTTCTCGGACAGGACTTAAGTGCTTCTGCTGCTCCTTTTTAAGGTTCATCGGCTGTAAACTCCAGCGGAAAGTTCTGGCTGTTCGTCCACTCTGGAATGAAGCCCGGTTCTAGAAGTTTTGTGTTGCGTGCACACATCCGTTTCGTAGGTCTGAGTCGTTTGTGTGCAGACTGTTGACTCATTTCCTCTCAGGCAGATGCACTCCTACTTCGAAAGGAGCTCCCAATCAGTTGACCCTTACAACATGCTTTTTGGGTAGGCAGTGGGTCTATTCCTACTCCCCCCTCCCCCTTCCCCCTCCCCACCCACAGTTGTGCACATGAACCAAGATGGGGAGGACTTAAGTCCAGAAGACGACAAACAACCAGAACTTTCCGCTCCCGAGTCTGCAATCGGTGAACGTTTAGAAGAAGAAGAAGAAGATGGTCACCTGTGTCAGGTATCAGCTGATCAAACTCCGCTCTCTTGCAGCTCTTCCAATGAAGTAATCGCGTCACACAGAGCCGGTCACCGATCAGGACGTGGTTGGCGAATTTGCCCATCATTCTGTGCGCCACGGCGATCCCGTACTGGACCCTGTTGATGTTTGTGGAGAGTGGGTCCTCTAGGACCCGGGAGATGTTGTAAGCTTTGCTGAAGTATTCTGTGGCTTCGTCGTAATTGCCCTGTAGAGAGAGAGAGACAGAGAGAAAAGGGGGGGGGGCGTGAGCGTAAGGAGAGACTTCCATGAAAGCACGGAGTCAGATGTAAGGAGAGACTTCAATGAAAGCACGGAGTCAGATGTAAGGAGAGACTTCGGTGTAAGCACTGAGTCAGATGCAAGGAGATAATTCAGTGTAACAACGTAGTCAGATGTAAGGAGATACTTACATGTAAGCAAGGAGTCAGATGCACGGAGAGACTTCGATGTAAATTTTAAAAAAGAGGGGGTGGGGGGGGGGGGGCAGGGTCCGGAAAAAGTCACTAGTAAAGAATTGTTCGATATAAGAAAACATTCGTATGTAAAGAAGGACTTATGTGCAATGAAGGTTTCACCTGTAAGAAAGGACTTATGTGAAATGAAGGATTCACCTGAAAAGAAGGATTTATGTGTAATGCAGGATTCACCTGTAAGGAAGGACTTATGTGTAATAAAGTATTCACCTGTAACGAGGCACTCACGCTTAAGAGGGATTCACGGAGTTATAAGTTATACCTTTAGAGAGGGGCGTAAGACGTAAGGAGAAAATTGAGAGTAAGGAGAGTGTAAGTATGAAGTCAGGTGTAAAGAGGGAGTGAAGAAGGAATAGGGTGTGAGAGAGAAGTCAGGTATAAGAATGATTCTGGTGTAAGAATAGTAAAAATGCGTGTGGTATAAGGAAGAAGTCATTGGTAAGAATGATTGTAGTGTAAGGAAGAAGTCAGCGATGAGTATAATTCTGGTGTAAGGAAGAAGTGGCAAGAATGATTCTAGTGTAGAAGTCAGGTGTAAGAATTTTTCTGGTGTAAAAATTATTTGTATGTAAGAATGATTCTGGTATAAGAGGAAAAGTCACGTGTAAGAGTAATTTTGCTGTAAGAATGATTCTGGTGTAAGAGGAAAAATCAGGTATAAGAATGATTCTGGTGTAAGAATAGTAAAAATGCGTGTGGTATAAGGAAGAAGTCATTGGTAAGAATGATTGTAGTGTAAGGAAGAAGTCAGCGATGAGTATAATTGTGGTGTAAGGAAGAATGGCAAGAATGATTCTAGTGTAGAAGTCAGGTGTAAGAATTTTTCTGGTGTAAAAATGATTTGTATGTAAGAATGATTCTGGTATAAGAGGAAAAGTCACGTGTAAGAGTAATTTTGCTGTAAGAATGATTCTGGTGTAAGAGGAAAAATCAGGTATAAGAATGATTCTGGTGTAAGAATAGTAAAAATGCGTGTGGTATAAGGGGGAAGTCATTGGTAAGAATGATTGTAGTGTAAGGAAGAAGTCAGCGATGAGTATAATTGTGGTGTAAGGAAGAAGTGGCAAGAATGATTCTAGTGTAGAAGTCAGGTGTAAGAATTTTTCTGGTGTAAAAATGATTTGTATGTAAGAATGATTCTGGTATAAGAGGAAAAGTCACGTGTAAGAGTAATTTTGCTGTAAGAATGATTCTGGTGTAAGAGGAAAAATCAGGTATAAGAATGATTCTGGTGTAAGAAGGAACTCAGATGTAAGAATGATTGTGGTGTAAGAGGAAAAGTCAGGTATAAGAATGATTCTGGTGTAAGAAGGAACTCAGGTGTAAGAATGATTGTGGTGTAAGGAGGAAGTCAGGTATAAGAATAATTCTGGTGTAAGAGGAAAAGTCAGGTATAAGAATGATTCTGGTGTAAGAAGGAACTCAGGTGTAAGAATGATTGTGGTGTAAGGAGGAAGTCAGGTGTAAGAATGATTGTGGTGTAAGGAGGAAGTCAGGTGTAAGAATGATTGTGGTGTAATGAAGAAGTCTAGTGTTAGAAGAGCGCTACCAGGCTTGGATGAACCTACCACCGAGTTGCAGACGTTGCCCAGGTTGTAGCAGGCCAGACAGTACTCCCGCTCCAGGCCAGTCTTCTCCGTCAACTCGACGAACCGCTTGAGAAATTCGACACTCATCTCCTTGTTGCCTTGCCTGGTTTAGCATTAACAACCATAACCTCATACGCTAATATATATAAATAATGTTACAAAACTGCAGTCAGCTCCAAAAGGCGTGACCAACTTTAAAAATATGTAACTTAGTAACTTCTTTTTTTCTTTTGTAACCCTTTTTAAAAAAAGTTTGTTGTTCTCTAGTCTTCTTCTGTCTTTTGGCGTTAGGTTTTGAAGAGGCATCGGGTGAAAGCGTTGGTATGTGCTACGTAAGTGCTGATATAACGGCCCCGACTATTACATTTATCCATCGTTTGCGTGGTCGACCTCTGGATCTGGTTTTATTATGTCTAAGTAACAGGGCTCTCTGTGATGTTGTGTCTAATGATAATCTTAACACATGTCCAAACCATTCAATCTGTTATAGCTTGATGTGGTTTAATACTGTTTCTGCCCAAGCCTATTTCCTGACATTGTTGTTTCTGACCTTGTCTATTTGCATTTAGGATTTGCCGCAGACATTTCATTTGTGTCGTTTCGATTTTGTTAGTTTGTTGTTAATATCCACATTTGGCACTAGTAGCAGAATGTTGGTAAAAATACTGCATTGTTACATGAATGTTCTGCAAAATTTGTGACATTTGTGCATTGATGTGAAAGTGAGTAAAGATCCCTTTTCACGCCTTTATGCGCATATAGGAAGAGCACCATATTTTTACAGACCAATCGGCACTAAGTGGTCAGCAAACAGCGCACATACATCCTGGTACCTATTTTAGGCTAGGTCAACCTGCGACGCCCCGTGCCATGATAAAAATTCATTGATCGCATGCGCAACTGCTGATCTGTTGGCGACTTCTGCTACCGTCGACGATGAACTGCATTTCTAATGTCAAACTGTTTGTGTTAGCACTTCGGATGGCTACTGTATGCTTTTAATGTTAGTGCATATGCTGAGACAGCAGTCTGTCAATCTTTCCACAAGGGACTGTGATGAACATTCTGTGTGTTTTTCGTTGACACAGGAGCGGAGCAACTATAGGGTGACTCATTTGCTATGAAGCTGAAACTAAGACTATCAAGATTACCAAGAATAAAAATTTCACGCAGCAGTGGGTTTCGATCGCCGTACGTTGGAATTAAGAGTCAGACTCGCAACACCTAAGCGATGGACCCTGCGTATATTGATGTGATTTGATTTATTAAGTCGAAGATGTATCTGTGCTTTTACTTTTCCATTGGAAGATATTAGGGTCCTTTGATACTCGAAGTCTTTTGCTTGCTTGAGTTGTTGGTTTGCGGTGCATTTCTGCAGCTCTTCTTATGTCATTGCCACGAGGACTCGGTCATCTGCAAACATTTCATTGCACTTTCTCCTCAATAATTTTGGATGGTCCCCGTGTTGGTTCCAGGGCTCGATTGTGGAAAAAGCAAGAATGCACCTACTGCCTTCACAACAAACATGTCGTAAGTGTCGACTAATTGGAGGTTTCCTTTGAAGTCTGAGTGCATCTGCATGATAGACAAGGAAACCACATTCTGCATGTAAATAAGTGAGATATGTGAAACAGATGGCCTTGCAACACTCAGGTTCTGAAACACGTCTAAAGTCCAGAGATGGATGAACAACCAAAACTTTCAGACTGAGTTTACAGCCGAAGAAGATGAATTTAGGATGCTCTAGTGATTTGATCTATATGCTTGAAAATAATTCAATAACCTTTCGGTGTAAATTGTGAAAATCTACCATGCAACGTGTTAAATATCATGTCATAGCAGGAAAATAGTTATAGTTTGAACAAACATAAATTTTTTATTTTGCCTTATCTGTGGTATATAAAAATAAAAAAAACATAGACAGCGACCCAAAGCATACATTTAACATTTTTACAGTAAATGGACTTGGCATAACATCACATCACAAGCGTTGATTGACGATAATAAAAGTGACAAAGAAAAAGCGGGCTTATTTTTTAACTTTAAAATACATAAGTCATATATTGTCATAACACTTGTTGATTGGCCCAAAAAAAGGTATACGATTTGTGACAATTACTGTTTATATTTATTTGTTTAAAGGGTACCAAATTATTAATCCAACAATCATTTAAAAAAAATAAAAAAAATAAAGAAAACAGCAGTGCATATGCACCTGTAAAATTATGAAATGGTGAAGACATGAGAAAGCTAGGGCCATGTTTACAAATTCGTTTTAATCCGTACATGAGCTTCCGGGAGATTTGTTAGTTTGAGGGAAACACTATTGCAACGGTCTAAAATATAATTACAATCACAACTAACTCAACCACATATGGGGATGTTCAGAGCTCACATAGTCTTTCAGTACATCTCTTATTGTTTCATGGTCTGTTACACTTAGGTCCGATTTAAAGAGGGGAGGGGGGAGACATACACACACACACACACAAACATATATATATATATATATATATATATATATATATATATACACACACGCACACACTTTCAATAGCACGTAGACTTCTCCTACACACTCCTTATCATCAAGTACTTTGTCAGATAGGCGCAGACGTCCACTTTTCCCGACCTTGGTGGTATTTGTGGGTCAGTTATAATAACTACCTTCCACCCTACCACCTTTACACCCCCCCCCCCGCCACCTACTCTCCTCCCCCCCTCCCCCCCCCCCCCCCCACGAGGTCACTAACCTGGCATAAATCTTAGCAATGGCGTCACAGGCTTGACCGGTGCCCTCGTTGTCGCTGTCCCCCTGGCAAGCCTTGTAGAACGTGTACAGGTGCTGGGAAAAATAATGTATACAAGTGCTAGGAGACACAACGTGTACATGTGCTCGGAGATACACATGTATATGTGCTTGGAAACACAACGTGTACATGTGCTAGGAGACACAACGTGTACAGGTGCTAGGAGATACAACGTGTACATTTGCTAGGAGACACAACGTGTACATTTGCTAGGAGACACAACGTGTACATGTGCTATGAGACACAACTTGTACATGTGCTAGGAGACACAACGTGTACAGGTGCTAGGAGACACAACGTGTACAGGTGCTAGGAGACACAACGTGTACAGGTGCTAGGAGACATAACGTGTACAGGTGCTAGGAGACACAACGTGTACAGGTGCTGGGAGACACAACGAATTCGGATGCTGGGAGAAACAACGTTCACAGGGACACAGATGAGAATCATTTATTGTGTACGTTAGTCCCATGTAGTCACTTCATAATTAGAGCATATTTGTGTATGTGTACTGTATTGTTCTTTATGTGCTGATGAAGGCTAATCGTCGCAACGTCCTTTGTTTGTTTATTGTGATCGATTTTGTAAAGCTTACATAAACTGTTTGTTTTTTTCTTACCAACGTTTTCTCTTCCCTATAATTTCCCAACCCTTTAAAAACAGGTGCTGTGAGAAACAACGTGTACATATGCTGTCAGAAACCACGTGTACAGATGCTGTGAGAAATAACGTGTACAGGTGCTAGGAGACCCAACGTGTAAAGATGCTGTGAGAAATAACGTGTACAGGTGCTAGGAGACCCAAAGTGTACAGATGCTGTGAGAAATAACGTGTACAGGTGCTAGGAGACCCAACGTGTACAGATGCTGTGAGAAACAAAGTGTACAGGTGCTAGGAGACCCAACGTGTACAGATGCTGTGAGAAATAACGTGTACAGGTGCTAGGAGACCCAACGTGTACAGATGCTGTGAGAAACAACGTGTACAGGTGCTAGGAGACCCAACGTGTACAGATGCTGTGAGAAATAACGTGTACAGGTGCTAGGAGACCCAACGTGTACAGATGCTGTGAGAAACAACGTGTACAGGTGCTAGGAGACCCAACGTGTACAGATGCTGTGAGAAACAACGTGTACATGTGCTTAAAGGAACAAATAATATGCTGGGAGACAGAATGTGTTCAGGACTTCCGGTGTAAACAGCCACAATGGCGGCACGCTTTTTCGTCCGTTGAGGCGAATGGCGCAAATTAACTATTTTCGCTCACGTATAATGTGAAAGTTTCATCGGAATGGGGTCTGAACCGTGCAATGGAGTACATGCACGTGAGTTCAGACTTCCCTCAGGGTGTATTCAACGTCCGATGGCGACTATCTACCAATTCAAAACAACCCGTAGACGGACAAGGAGAACGCGAACAGGCAAGCACGGTGGCGCCTGCAGGAAGCGACTGAAATGTGAGAGACTCAGCTTAAAGTATGTTCGCGTTCTCTACTGGAACTGCGCCTCGTTCAGTCAACGCCGACCCATTTTCGAGAAGCTCCTCTACAGCAACGACATTGTTGTCCTACAGGAAACACACCTCGGTGACGAGATGGTTAAAATTGCGGGCTTCCAATCCTTCTACAATAGACGGCACCTCGGACAGCTCATTCTTGTTCGTGACCACATACTGGTGTCTGAGGTGGACATGTCTGAGTGGGATAATGACGACCTACAAGTACACGCAGTCAGAGTGATGGGCCCGGCCCAGTTTGTGATTGTCAATGTGTACGCCTGCAATGGAAAGGTGGATACAGCGAAATGGCAGAGTTTGCTCCAGACTGAGGAAAAGAAAGTCCTTTACTGCGGAGATTTCAACGCCAGAGGAAACCAGTGGGGCAATGTAATTACCAATAAACAGGGGGAAGACCTGGAGGATGCTCTAGTGTCTGCCGATCTAGTATGCTTGAACGACGGAAAGGTTACCCGAATAGCAACCGACAAGGGGATTCTGACAGCGTAATTGACCTGGCCCTAGTGTCTCCCTCCATTGCATCAGGATGCAGGTGGAGCACACTGGGATACCATGACAGTGATCACTTTCCGTGCGTCGTCCTGGTGGAGAAGAGCAACAACAAAGGTCATGTAATCAATGTGCCTGCTTTTATATATGACCGTACAGGGCAAGATGCCATTAGCAAAATCAGACGACGTAATACAAGAGCAGATCGCAGACGGCGGGAGAGATGGGCCCAGCCACCATGGTGGAATGAAGTAGTCAACATAGCGTGGCTAGAAAAAAGGAACGCTGTCAAGGCATGGCAAAAGGCAAGGAAAATTGATCCGTCACTTTCTGAACGCCTGATCAGTCTGAAAGATGAGGTCAACAAGCGGACAGTGGCTTTCAAGTTAATTGCGAAAGAAGCCAAGACAGCGAAATGGAACGAATTCTGCAAGAGCGTTTGCTCCGAGGATCTCTTGTGACATTCTGGCGCCTTCAACGGAGCATGCACGGCGCCGCACGACCAAGGGGTATCCCTGATTTTCAGGGTACAGACCTGATATGGCAGAGAACTGATGCTGATAAAGGAAAAACCCTCCTTGCGCGCTACTTGGAGCAAACTGACCAAAAAGACGAAGCTGCAAGAATAGGGGTTAAGATGAAACTGTCGATGCTGTGCGAGAACACTGAGCTAGGCACTGATTTCACAATCACTGCAGACACCTTAAGAACTTGCCTCAAGAAATCGCGCAGCACTGCTCCAGGTCCTGACGGCATCCGATACAATGACATGCTGATGATGTCGAATGCTGATTTGTGAAAAGCGTGGCAAAGGAATTCAATATCAGCATCCAGAGTGGCCAGATACAAGAGGAATGGCTCCATAGTTATTTGTTTCCACTACCAAAGCCTAATAAAGACCACTCAAAGATCTGCGGCTACAGAATCATCTCGATGCAGAATACTGTTGGCAAACTTTTGGAAAAAATTGTCGCACACAAGATTGACCACCTACTTGGAACTACATGATAAGTTCCCATCAACACTTGGAGGGTACAGATTGAAGAAAGAGACATGGTCCAATGCTGCTGTTTTCGCCTACGATGTGTACGAGGGATTTCAGATTAAAGAAGAGACATGTGCGGCAGTGTTGGACTTAGAAGTTGCCTACAATAAAGTACCATATGATTATTTAATGCAATTACTGCTTAAACTAGAAGTCAATCCTATTCTGATCCGCTGGATTGCTGCGGTCCTGTTCTAGAGAAAGATTGTACTAAGATGTGGTAGCTGGTCCTCAGAACCGCAAACGATATGTCCAGGCTTGCCACAGGGATCACCGCTATCACCAGTCTTATTCAATGTTTATACGGTGATGATCACTGAGCAGCAGTTGAATGGAAAGGGAAGGACTTTGTCATTTGCTGATGACATTTTGATTTATCGACGAGGGCGTGATAGACAGGAGATCGCCAGCACAATGCACAAAGAACTCGATCGAATTGCCGCCTGGTGTGATGGTTCCAATGCCTATGTCAATCCCTCGAAGGCATCAGTGTCATGGTTCTCTCTTTGAACAATCACATTGTCAAGTCGGACTTACCAGAAGTGAAAATGCGTGATAATGTATTGATCAGAACCAACGTTATGACGTTTCTCGGGGTGAGGTTCGATCGCAGCTTGTCATTCAGGGAACACGTTGACCATGCGATAACAAAAAGCACGCAAAGGTCTATCTGCAATGAGGATTATGGCTGCTTCCATATCGAGCAAAGACTGCTGGTGCTTCTATTCTATGGTCTGGTCCTTTCCCCCATTGAATACGCTCTGGCCATCCTCACTGTCAGTGCTACCCAGATTGAACGACTCGAGAAGGTGCAAAATGAAGCCATGCGTATTATTTTGGGATGTACAAGAGACACATCTTGTGGAGCAATGAGGTATCTACTTGACTTTCCAACAATGAACCAAAGGATCAGGATGTGGAGGGCTCGGGCATACCTCAAAATATGTGCTGATAAGAAACACCCACTGCATCAAGCGCTTTTTAGTGAAAAGGGCGACAGACTGAAGAGGGGAAAATCGTGGCTAGGTCGGGCAGAAGATGTTATTAGGCAAATATGCAGCCTAACCGACATCATACCTGGTGCAGAATGGATACCTGTGCCTCAGGCGTTTATTTGTACATTTTCCTGTATTGTCACACTCAACAGGCGATGTAGAGAAGATAATCCTGTTTGCTGTTAATGCAGAGGTCAACGCTCTCATCGGTGAAAATTCAGACGAAGCAGATGCACTAATCTATACAGACGGATCAGTTATACGCCAAAGAAGAGAGCGCATGGGCATTTACAGCACGCTCAGCGGGCAGAACAGTCAAAGAAGCCAACGGCGCCTTCTCCATGACAACCAGCAGCATGACGATGGAGGTGATGGCAGTGACGCAAGCGTTTGCCTGGCTTGAAACACAAAAATACACCCGCATATGTTATACTCAGTGATTCAATGAGTATGATCCCGGAGGGTTCAGGCAGGTTCAGTGCGAAGACAATGGCTTGAATCAATTCAGAAGTCCACTGTGCGAGGAGTCACCTTTATTTTTGTTCCGGGGACACGCAGGCGTCGATGGAATGAAAGAGCTGACAGGTTGGCTGGATCCGCTATCCACTACCGACGGTCGGCCTATGGATCATGCTGATATTATCAATGCCCTCAGAGAAATGGGAAGGATAGAGGACTTTGGTGGCAGTGAATCCACATCACTCGCCAGAATGGCAGACTTGGGAATTAAGATTAAGCAAAAAACGAGACGCACACCGGACACGTCAGAAGACTTGTTAATCAACATAGAACTGGTACTATTAGCCATCGGACGTTGGGATTCATACTGAGGGGAGGATCTGAGCACCTATGGACATGTCCGGAGTGCAATGATGATAACCCAACTAACTAACTAACTAACTAACTAACTAACTAACAGAATGTGTTCAGTTGCTTGGGGACACAACGCGTACAGGTACTTAGAGACGCTAACAACGTCTACCGGTGCTTGAAGACACAATGTGGTCTCGATACAGACACACCTCCTCGGAGAGGAGAGTGAGAGAATCATAGAGAAAGAGAAAGAAAGAGAGAGAGAGAGAGAGAGAGAGAGAGAGAGAGAGAGAGAGAGAGAGAGAGAGAGAGAGAGAGAGAGAGAGAGAGAGAGAATCAGAGAGTGAAATAATGAAATATGCAAAGAACATTAAATAAAAGCACTGACCTTGCTCGGCTGCCGATCCTCTGATGAACTTCGATGCCTAGCGGCATAGGCAGATAATGACAAAAAGAAGAAGAAGCACTGACTTCCAATCAGTAGAGAATCAGAGAGAGTGAGATAACCCAGTGAGACTGTTACAGGGAGACATTGACAGAGATAGTGTGAGAATGAGTGACAAAAAGAATCAGGGAGAGTGTGAAAAATCAGAGGGAAGAGAGACATATAATTAGAGAAATGAGAGATAATTTGACTGATAGAGGGGGAGAGAGACTGATAGAAAGACAGAAAGTGAGAGAAAATGTGAGAGATAAAGAGATAGACCATCATAGAAAGAATCAGAGACCGAGATCGCAGAGAGACTGCTATAGAATCAGAGAGGGTGAGATTGAGACAAAGAATTAGAGAGATGGAAGAGAGAGGGTTTAGATAGAGGAATCAAGAGACACAGGGTACACGATTCCATAAATATACTTCTACTTACAGTCAGCGCATTGTCCAGCTCGTTTACTTTCTGGTAAGCCAACCCCAGATTGTAAGAAGCCTCACCTTCCAGTTTCTTATCTTGGCCTACAAAATAATGACAACATAAAATACCTGGCATATGGGTTCTGGTACAAGAGGCACACCCTAGAACCAAACAGACGGTGACTGGTCCAGCCTTTGTAGTCAGGTAAGTGGAAACAATTACCGTTAGTTTTCAGCTGTCTGCTGAATTTGTCAACTTTTATTTACGTTATTTATTCTTCTATTCACGTTTACATGAATATGAACATTATGTTTTACTAAGACAGGTTATAGTCCCCGTAGTGTGGGGGTGTTGTTTATGTGTGTTTGTGTGTGTGTGTGTCTGTGCGTGTGTACGTGTATACACATACACATGATTACCGGTAAGCTTAGTACGACATCACCTCCAGGCAGAAGGATGACCTACGAGGCAACACGTGGAGCCAGCCTGTTTTTAAAATTGTAAAAAGGAGGGGGGGGGGGGGGGTTGGGGGGGATGTCATGTGTCCGTGGTCGAGTGGCTAAAATATTCAAACTCTCCTCCAAACCGATGCATTACCACAAACAAAAAAAGGCTCTTCTTTGAATGGGTTTGATGAGTTTAATCGCGTTTGGCGTATGCCGACAAGTGTGACATCTACCGCTGTTAAATCCTCCCATCGGAAGAACACAGTATTGCTAATCGGCTTTCATCGTCTGTAATGTCTCGAAATTGGTCAACGGTCGCTAATATCGTCTGCTAGTATCGTCGTCTGCAGAAACGCTCGAAATTGTCAACGGTCAGTATTTATCGTCTGCTACTACCGTGTGCAATGTTGATATTGATTGTCAAGTAATCCTAGTTTTGCTGCGATTTGTCCCTTGGCAGAAAGTCCGTATTTTAGATACGCCTGAACACCGTTCGGATATTTTTTGATATATTATGGCCAGAATGTGGCATCATATTACGGCCGCCATCTTAAGGCGCTGTTCAAAGTGGAGCCACTAAAAAGTATAATCCGTTTCAAAAGTCATACCCTCAAACTTTAAAAAATATCGCTAAAACTCCAGGACGGATTAACATGAATTAGTGCATAAGGTCTTAGACTGTCCATGTACTTATGATTTCGTAGATTACAAGTGTGTATGTGCTGACGTTTTACCAATAATAGTAATAATAATAATTATATTAATAATAATAATTATTATTATTATTAGCAGAAGAAGAAGAAAGTGACACGAAGAGAAAATAGATAAGGATATACATGGATATAGATGATGACCTCACAGACCAGCATCAGGGCCTGCCCACACAAAACCAGTAGGACAACACAAAAGAAAGAGACACAGAACAACAACAAAAACATCAACAACACGAGGCATACTTTTCTTTGACATCTCCAAAGCCTGTATCAACATCTGCAACGAGGCCTCGTTGTCGTTGTCGTCGACACTGCGACCCAGCTCCAGCCCAATGATGGTGTAAATGGCGAACAATTTGACGCAGGAGTCCGTGTAAAAACTGACCCCATTCTGCAGCTTCCAGTCGTCTTCATGGTTCAGAGAGAGTTTGTGATAAGATTCAAAGTGCTTGGCGGCTTCTCGATAGTGATCTGCAGGCAGCGTTTCAGTAGACCATTTTTTTTATAGTTAGTGGAGTAGTAGGAAGAGGAGAAGAGTGAAGAGGCACGAGGAGGAGAGATGACGATGTCATTAATGATGATGATCATAATGATGTTTACTGAAAAGAAGAAGAAGAAGAAAAAGACGATAAAGAAGAAGAAGAAGGAAGAGGAAGAGGAGGAAGACATAGAAAACGTTTATTTATTTTTTTATTTTAATCCAGAAGCCATGAGTTGTTAACAATTAGGCTCGGTATTATGGATATCGCAACCCTTCGGCCTTGATTCCATGATAAATACCGTACCCTGGGAGAAATGTGGCTTTGCTGCTTACCCCCGGGCGTGAACCTGGACCACAAGGAGTTCGTCCCCCTGTCACCGCGCAGTCCGGTTAAGCCAACTACGCTAGTGAACAGGGCTGAGACCACGTTTATAATTGGCGACAAGAAAGACTATGAATAGGATGAATTCAGTGCTCTAGAAAGAGTTGTACCTGACTTTTTGACCACACTTGTAACCATCAGACTTTGTGTGACGATATTGGCGACTATATGCAATATTTTACAAAGAAAAAAGTAAATAACTATACAAAACACAAATTCTTGCACACAAACATGTCTCATCAAAGGAATCAGAACTGTGAACCAACGGTTTTTCTGTAGACACACGCCCACGTTACATAGGCCCTCTGCCAGCATCCTGGACTCGGCCGTATCCTGCCTTCTGGCCACCTCTAGGCACGTGCTGAAGAAGTGGTCGGCCAGCCACTGGTCGTCAGGATCATGGGTGTAGGATTGAGCCAGTTCGTATCTTGCAGTGTACTCTTCCTCGATGTTATCTGTTGGGGGAATTCAGTCAGGCAGCAGTTATTTTCTGTTTGTAATGTAGAGGGTTAAAGGGTGGGGGGGGGGGGGGGGGGGAGGTGGTGGAGATTGCCATAAAGCAATCATCGCCTGATGTGACGTTGTAAGTAATACAATACCCGAAGCAATTATTCCCTGTTGTAACTCTGAGGGAAATACAATTAGAAAGCCATTTTTTTTCTGTGGCAGAAACATATACCCAACTGGCATTTAATTTGTTACCACAAGGATGTCGAAAGCAGAAAGAAACCACCTCTTCTATAGGATGTTATTTGCTTGATTCCGGACACGTAACTGACTAGGACTATGCCTATACATATACCCAAATGGCAGTTAAGTGGTTCCACAAGGGTGTCGAGACCAGTCAAGCGGACTGATTGACTGACTTTCTACCCCACCAGGGCATCACACAAACGATAAACATCCGATGACACAAAGTGCCACCATGTGGGTGAGGATCACCGTCGAGAGGTCCCAGAAACCGCGTTCAGACAATTGGCCATATTTATGGCCTGCCTATATTGCGGCCCCTGGCAAAAGCCAGGGTGGGGCTTCAAATAACAAAGAATTTCGTCCTAAAAAGGATGAAACTGGAAAGTAAAAAGGACGAAACTGGATAGAGTCAAGCGGAAAGAAACCACATCTTATATAGGACGTCATTTGCCTGATTCCGGCCACGTAACTGACCAATTCTGTGCCTTCGGCGTGATTTACCACCATCGAACAGGTGAATGTTGAGATTGGCCGAGGCTTTGACAGTAAAAATGAGTAACCCCCTCTCATGTAAGCAGAAAGAATGCGTTATAAAGTTAAAGTTGCTTTCTAGCTTCATTATATGTTGGTGTAACTGTAGTAACGCCCATGACGAGATACAGCGAAATATGGCTGACAATAAATTGTGCAATGTATCGTTTGTATCCGCATTATTTAAAGCCATGGTTTAACGTTGTGTGCAAAATAGTCGTGAAAAATACATCTACGCGGTGGTGTTCTAACCATACACATCTACACACTAGTGTCTAAACTATAAACATCTACACGCTACAGTTATAACTAAAAACATCTACACGGTGATGTCTAATTACAAATGTCTACACGCTGGTGTTCTAGCCACACACATCTACACGGTGGTGATCTAACAACAAACATCTACACGCTGGTGTTCTAACTACAAACATCTACGCGCTCGTGTTCTAACCACAAACCTCTGCACGTTGATGTTGTAACAACAAAACTCTACACGCCGCGGTACTAGATAAAACATCTAGATAGTGGTGTTTTAACGACAAACATCTACACGCTGGTGTTTTGACTAAAAAATGCACGCTGATGTTCTAGCCACAGTCATCTACGCGCTCGTGTCCCAACTCCAACCATATAGACGTTGGCGTCTCAGCTACAATCATCTTCACGCTGGTGTTCTAGCTATAATCATCTACACACTGGTGTCTCAACTACAATCATCTACACGCTTGTGCTCTAGCTACAGTTATCTACACGTTGGTGTCTCAACTACAATCATCTACACGCTGGTGTCTCAACTACAATCATATACCCGCTGTGTTATAGCAACAATCATTTACACGCTGGTGTTCTAGCTACAGTCATCTACACGCTGGTGTTCTAGCTACAGTCATCTACACACTGGGGTCTCTGCTACAGTCATCTACACGCTGGTGTAAAAGGTAAAGGTAAAGTCGGGAAATGTGAGCCAGCGTCATTGCATACGGTTATAAACCATAAGTGCTCTGCCACCAGTACAGACAGCTGATAAGTATTGTCCGCCTGTGTCGCCGTTTGCACGTAACTCTTTAGCTACAGCGACGTTCCTCCATTTACCCCAGAGTGTCAACTCTGGTACCCATTTCCTAGAGGCTGGGTGAACCCCGGGAGCCGTTTCGAACACCGACCGTCGGCTTCAGCGAGTCGCAGCTGGGTTTGAAAGCGAGCCTCTTATCGACTGCACTAACGCGGGTGTCTCAACTACAATCATCTACACGCTAGTGTTCTGACTATAAACATCCACATACTGGTAAGTAAAGTAAAAGTAAAGATCCCTTTCCACGCCTTTAGGCGTATCGGGCATATGGGAAGAGCGCCCATATTTACAGACCATCAGCACTCGGTGGGTAATGTGGTCAGCATTACGCCGGCTGTCTTTACTTTCCCAGGACGGCCCATCCTGGTACCCATTTTAGGCTGGGTCGATCTGCAATGCCCCTTACTATGATAAAAATCCATGCAGCCAGCAACATACTGGTGTTCTGACTACAAACGTTTAGACGCTGGTGTTGTGACTAAAAAATCTACATGCTATTGTCCTAATTACCATCAGTATATGTATGTCCTGAATACAAACAATGATTCCATCATATTCTTACTACGGATATCTGCATAATGATCATCTAACTACAGACAATGATTCTGTCATGTGCTATAATCTACAAGCTGCTGGTCTAACTACAAGCATTACTGACTCACTCTCCACGCCTCCTATAGCTCACCCTCTCTGTTGGCGCTCTCAGCTTTGGTCGTGTAGTACTTGAGCAAGTCCAGCTTGGGCCTCTGATCCTGCAGCAACGGTTTGGTCCAAAGAAAGGACTCTGGCCCAGCTGCCTCTCGTCTCTCCATCTGCTGACGAATGAGAGTGACCAGCTCACAGAAGGACATATGAAAACCAGTGGTCAGCATGTCCAGGCACAGGTTGTGCTTGTATGAGTTGCGAAACCTGTAGACGGCCACGCATACAAAGTAATAATCTTTCCTTTTCTACGTTTGGAGGTTTCTCATGTGGAGTCGTTGGGCGTGTATTTTCTACAAAAATATAAGTCGATTTAGTAAACTGCTAGCAGAGATAAACCATTAGTGAACAGATTTAAAAAAAAATATTTTGAATGTTGAATATTGAATTAAGAATCGACCTCACAGCTCTCTGGACACTCCCATAAGCGCTCCGTCCACATCTTTAGCAGCACACAAAGAGTTCAAATACCGATGGCACCAGTAACTGTCTGATTGTATATATCCGTCTCGCCCTATCCTTGAGCGTTGGCAAGATCCCCTGGTAACTCCTTGCAGCAGAGATATGGTATAGACGAATTAGCAGAAACTGATCGCCCACATCAGAAAAAGACAATCTACATTTTTTGATTATATTATAGGAAGGAAAAAATTGGACTGCTTCGTGACAGTGGGAAAGCTGGCGGGGTCGAAGAGGCAGAGGGAGACCGAAAGAGAAGATGCTGGTCAGTTTGATATCATCCCATGGGAAGATCATATGTAGCAGTATTGACTGAAAGTGCACCTGACAGAAAACTGCGAATAGACATGACTACCACCGCCACACGGCATGGACTTTAAGAACAAGAGGAGATCACAGCGAGAAAGAGAAAGATCTGCGATATCAAGCTATGTCAGAACTTCCCGAAAATTGACACAAGAATAAAGCCAAGAAATCCAGAGGGCGTCCAAGATGTTGATGGAAAGAACACACAGAGGCGGTGATCAGGAAACGTCTAGACTAATGGGGAAAGGAAGCTCAAGACATAAACTGCTTGGATCTATAGCAACCGAGTAGCGGAAATACCATTTAGTTATGACTGTTAAGAAAACAAAGCAGTAACTATTTGTTCGCATTTAGGGGTATCTGCCTGAAACGTTACAATTCTGTATTCCAGAAGATTCACAACCAAATGTTGAGTGGCTCCTCATTTGTCCATGTCCACACACCCCACCAGTCAATGTCCACAAAAGCAGCTTTTTTATATCCATATAAACTACTTGTTTATATCTACACAACCCCCATGTATATATACAGACAACCTACTTATCCATATCCACACAACCAACTTGTCAATATCCATACAAACCCTTTGCCTATATCCTCACAACGCACTTGTCCATATCCAACACAAGCCGTTTGCCTATATCCATACAACCTACCTGTCCATATTCAACTAACCCGTTTGGTCATAGCCACACAACCCACTTGTCTATATCCACACAACCCATTTGTCTAAATCCACACAACCCTTGTGTCTATATCCATACAACACACCTGACTATATCCACACAACCCACTTATCTGTATCCAAAAAATCCACTTGTCTATATCCACACAACCCACTTGTCTATATCAACACAACCTAAGTGTCTATATCCACACAACCCACTTGTTTATATCCACACAACCCTTGGGTCTATATCCAAACAACACACTTAACTATATCCACACAACCCAATTATCTGTATCCAAACAATCCACTTATATGTTCCTTCTCAAACCACTTGTTTATATCCACACAACCCACTTGTCTATATCCACACAACCCACTTGTCTAAATCCACACAACCCACTTATCTGTAACCAAACAATCCACTTATATGTTCCCACACAACCCACTTGTCTATATCCACACTACCCACTTGTCTATATACACACACAACCCACTTGTCTATATCCACACAACCCACTTGTCTATATCCACACTACCCACTTGTCTATATCCAATTTCCTCAAGATGGGTAACTTGTTCATGATGTCCACACTCTTGCGGTACATCAGCTTCTCCCGAAGTCCCTTGGGATTCTCCGGTTCCAGGGGAATCACGGGCCGCATCTGCCGCTGGCTCTGTGTCAAGCTGACCTTTCTTTTATTTATCGTGGGCAGAGCCATCTTTCTGTTCACAATTTATATGTATAAAAATGTTTCAAGTCTTTAAGTGTTCAAGAATGTTGGAAGTCTGTTCACAGTTTATATGTATAAGAATGTTTTAAGTGTTCAAGAATGTTGGAAGTCTCTTCACAGTGTTTATATGTATAAAAATGTTTTAAGTCTTTAAGTGTTCAAGAATGTTGGAAGTCTGCTCACAGTTTAAATGCACATGAATGGCTAACGTTTATTCACAATATAAGTGTACAAGAATGTTTTATGTCTGTTCACAGTTTAAATGTACAAGAATGGGTAATATCAGTCCACAGTGTACATGTACAAGAATGTTTTATATCTGTTCATAGTTTAAATATACAGGAATAGGTTATTTTTCCCACTTAAAATATACAAGAATGGTTAATTGTTGTTCACAGTTTAAATTTACAAGTATTTTTTTCCCCCCGTAGTTTAATGTACAAAAATGTGTACTATTTGTTCAAGTTTAAATGTACAAGTAGCGTCAAATTTTGTTAAAAGTTTAAATGTACACGAACGTTTTATGTCTTTTCACAGTTTAGATGTGCAATAATTTGTAATGTTTTTTCGGAGTTCACATACACAACAATGGTTAATTGTTCGTTCACAATATAAACTTACATAAATGTCTTACGTCTGTTCACCGTTTAAATGTACACGTTTTTGTTTACAGTTTAAGTTAACAAGAATATTAAATCTTTCTTTTTTTTTTTAAATTTCTCTCTATTGTTTGTTTTATTTCTGTTGCATGGCATGGAGGTGTGTCACCACACGAACTGATACACACTGCAGGAGATCGCAGATTGTGGAGAGGCCTGATCACCCACGCCAGTCGGCAAGGCACCTGATGATGATGACGATTGTTTTATTTTGGCTAGGACCATTGGACGTTGGGTTAGTTAACCATAGAGCTCTCTAGGGGTTTTTCCGAGCGCAAGTTTTCCTATATTTTTTTATCGTGGATAGAAGTGAAATCCCCAGCAAAGCCACAGTTTTGAATTAAAACACTTGGCTACAGAACCCACATCAAATCAGTTACCAAGTGTTTGAACAAATGTGGCACGCCGTTACACAGAAATTTGTCTACTATCGTACAGAAAATTATGTTCGTCAAATAAGTATTCTGTCTGGGTGATTATGGCCTATATGCTTCATATATTATTCAGGTGCACAGCTTTCGATCACAACAGGATTCAATTTCAGAAGTCTTGGATTAACGTTTGTGCTAAAACTGAAGGCATCCGATTTCATTGATATGTTGAGTTGAGTCAGGAATTGATCCAACAGCACTCGGGGCATTCGCATGGGTGCTCCGTCCTCATCTTCAGCAGCCAGCGCAGAGTTCCAATTCTGATAGTACCGGTCACAATCTGGTTATATGTCCGTCTTTCCTTTCCTCTGACTGTAATGAGTCGGCCAGACCCTCTGGTTACACCCATCATTCTCTCCAGGCCATAATAATCTTCTTTCTCTACTGATTCCGCTGCTTGTTCCAAAAGGGCCTTGACCCCATCTGCCTTGCCATGTACCAATTCACCACCCAGTAGTGCAGATCCAGCCAATCTGTCTGCCTCTTCATTACCCACAACGCCGCACGGCCTAGAGAAAAGATCCAAAATATGCTCACTACCCGTGACCTTCCCAGTGAAGCTTGCCACTCTGCCCGAAGCATCCCTGTGATTTCTTGGATATCTGCTCAGAGAACTGCCAGACTGGCTGACTAGTTTGTCTTGTAGTGTCTGTGGTTGCTGGTATGTTTCAGAACCTGCTTTCATACTGTCTACAACTGGCTTGGTTTCTTCTTCTTCTTCTTCTGCTTTTCTATCCCCCAATGGAGCATAGGCCCCCAACCAACTCCCGCCCAATCGTTCTTTCCTTCGCCATTACAGGGAGCTTTCCCCATGTCCTCCCCATCTTTCTAACTTCATTCTCCAGCTCTCTTCTCCGTGTGTTTTTTAGCTTTCCTTTATTCCTATGCCCCTGTGGGTTCCAATGCAAAGACATTCTAGTTATGTTGTTCTCATGTTTTCTCAGTGTGTGTCCTATCAAACGCCAACGTCTTTTCCTCGCCTCTTGGTCCACTGAAGCCTGTTTGGTTCTCTCCCAAAACTCTAAATTAGTTATTCTATCATACCATTTAATTCCCTCTATTCTGCGCAGGCACCAGTTAATGAATGTCTGCAATTTATTAGTAATTTCCTTAGATTTTTTCCATGATTCCGCCCCATACAAAAGTACTGATTAGACATTAGAATTGAAAAATTTTAGTTTAGTATTTCCTTTAATTTCTTTTGACCTCCACAAATTCCCTAGTGCTATGAAAGCTCCTCTTGCCTTTTGTATTCATATTTTAATATCTCTATCAGTTCCTCCATCTTTATCTAGGTTACTGCTCAAAAAAGGTGTACGACTCCATATCTTGGAGTGGGGTGCCATTAGGAAAAACCACATTACTATTTGCCTGCTTCATTCTTATTGTCTTTCCTTGGTTTGGTTTCATTGTAGTAATATTTGTAGCCTTCGGCTCCCTTGGCTGTCACCTGTTTCATGACGTTTCCTGACAGATCCAGAAACAGAATCCTCGGGATGAAGGCTCCGTCAGGGCTCAGGTCAGAACTCTTGGGCGAGTCATCTTTCTCGACACTGAACGTGACAAAGTCTGATGCCAGGTGCGGCAAACAATATTCACAGCACGCACACCTGAGTACAACTGATGCTGTTCGTTAGCTGAAAACATGACGCCAAAGCCACGTTCGTGAGTCAGTGGGCCGAGGAATTGTTCGCAGGTCGAGTCAAAATCTGTTCGGAAATTGTGTTCGTGGGCCGATTTTTGTCGTGACTAGAGGCGTTCATGACCTGAGGTGCTACTGTACATTAACTTTCGTGTTAATAATTTAAATTTTAATAATCAAACCTTTCTGTGTACCATAAAACGTTACATGACCAGCACAAGTTCTTCCTTTCACGCGAAAGTTCTGACACTAGTGACAATTCTCTTGAGTGGTGCCTCCTCTAACGTCATCGCTGCTTATTGCATTCCCCTACCCTAAATGTCATCTTTCTTATTTCTCTTTACTTATTTAATCCCTTCCCTCTTCCATTCCAACTTTTTTATTCTGTCCCCGAGTTGTCTTTATAACCTATCTCATCTTCCCCCGTATTACAATTAAACTCTAATAGAACCAAACTACTAGGAGGAACTTTAATGCAGGAGCTCTCAACCTTCCTAAGGCCACGAACCTTTAATACAATTCCCTCATGTTGTGGCGACCCCTAAACAATTATTTTCCTTCATCACTTCAATGAATATGTATTTTCAGATGGTCTTAAACCTCTTTAAAACGGTCGTTTGACCCCACAAAAAAGTGGTCGCGATCAGCAGGTTGAGAACCCCTGGTCTAAGGGAATTAAAAGAAAACCGCTGCATTTGACTTGGAACTTCTTTGACAGGTGTGCGACAGGGATGTCTTTTGTCGCCTCTCTTATTTTTACTGCCTATAGACTGGACTATGAAAACAGCAACTGCTAACACCAAGAATGGAATTCAGTGGACCCCTACAAAACAGCTTGATGATCTGGACTTCGATGATGATATTGCTCTTCTGCCCCATTCACATAATCAGATGCAGGATAAATTAAATATACTTGATGCGAGATCACAGCAGCTTGGTCTGAAAATCCCAAAAGGAAAGACAAAGATAATGAGAATAAATCAGGCAAATAGTAATGTGGTTTCTCTTAATGGCACCCCACTCCAAGACGTGGAGTCGTACACCTATTTAGGCAGTAATGTAGATAAAGATGGAGGAACTGATAGAGATATTAAAATAAGAATACAAAAGGCAAGAGGGGGTTTCATAGCACTAGGGAATTTGTGGAGGTCAAAAGAAATTTAAGGAAATACTAAACTAAAATTTTTTAATTCTAATGTCAAATCAGTACTCTTGTACGGGGCGGAATCATGGAAAAAATCTAAGGCAATTACTAATAAAACGCAGACATTCATTAACTGGTGCCTGCGCAGAATAGAGGGAATTAAATGGTATAATAGAATAACTAATGTAGAACTTTGGGAGAGAACTAAACAGGCTCCAGTGGACCAGGAGGTGAGGAAAAGACGCTGGCATTGGATAGGGCACACACTGAGAAAACTGGAGAACAGCATAACTAGAATGTCTTTGCATTGCAACCCACAGGGGCATAGGAATAAAGGAAGGCCAAAAAACACATGGAGAAGAGAGTTGGAGAATGAAGTTAGAACGTTTGGGAGGACATGGGGAGAGCTCCATGCAATGGCGAAGGATAGAACGACTTGGCGTGAGTTGGTTGAGGGCCAATGCTCCATTGCGGGATAGAAAGGCAGAAGAATAGAAGAAGAATTGTGAGAACTCGGTCAGTGTACCTACAAGCAATCACTGACCACCAATAGCAAGATAATTACAGATAGGAGAGACAGCAGCAGGCCCCAGTGACATCTAATAGTACACGGCATTCCAATAGAGACCTGAAAGACAATTGTGTCAGAGATGAATGTACAGATAATGACCCCGATGACGTGGAGAATCTGACCGATGACGTGGGGACGGGAGGGGGGGGGGGGGCACACTTGTCGGGACATGGCCCGGTACGGTCTTAGAGCACAGATTTGTTGTGGAGAGTGGGATCTCTTGTGTTTCTTGCAGACTAGGGTAAGGTTGTTTTTGAAGATTGGAAGATAATTATTATGTTTAAAGTTTTTTGGCATATCATAATCACCTCATGTAGTTTTAACGTTCTGTAGTTCATCGTTTTTCACGCTCATAATACTGTCGGTAATCAACGGAACGCAGTCAGGTGCCTTCTACTGGTGTCGAATCTTGGGAAAAGGAGGAGGAGGAGGGGGAGAAGAAGAAGAAGAAGAAGAAGAAGAAGAAGAAGAAGAAGAAGAAGAAGAAGAAGAAGAAGAAGAAGAAGAAGAAGAAGAAGAAGAAGAAGAAGAAGAAGAAGAA